AAAGGCTTCAGCAATAGTTCCAATTTTATTACACATCAAAGAACTCACATGAAAGAGAAACTTTATTGAAGTGGCAAAGAGGGAAAGTGAGGGGACTGGCCCATGAGAAGGAATCGCCACACTGCCTCAAATAGTGATGTCCCTTTACAAGAGCCATTCTTCTTAGACACTCTTTGGAGGTTTTTGCCAGAATTTTACCCTGCTCATCCTTATTTCTAGAACATTGTCATCTTAGTGGTCAGAGTCAAGCCTCATACAGATTCAAGAACAGTGTAGGAGTGGAGGGGAGGGTCCAGAAAGTTGGGTCTTTTTCTGTTACATTTCACACCTGATTGGCCCCCTGTCTCCTGATTCCTTTGTGCCTCAGTTTCCTCTTTGGTAAAACAGAGAGAAATGTTTCTGCATGTGGAATGGAAGACAGTGTGGCCCACAACATGGGCTGAGTCCTCAGAGAAATACTGGAAATCTACTGCTGGTTTTGCTGTTACTTTGTTGGGCTAAGCTGCCTTCACCCTAAGATGTTAGCATTCTAGGGTCCCCTGCTCATATCAAAACCCAATTTTCTTGGCTTTAGTGTCTTGGGCTTTGATTTCAGGTCAAGATGGAGGGGCTTCCCCAGGTAAAACCCTTTTCTACTTTCCAGAAAATGTCAGGATCACAGAAACGTGAGGAAATATGGCCTGGAACCATTGTCCCAGTGTCTTTTCCATTGGCTAGAGTTGGACAGGGCCTGGCAGGAAAGGTAGAAACTGAGGAGATGTATGTGCTTGCTTTTGTCTCTGCTTACTGTCCTGTGGTAAGTTAGCTGCCAGGGGGAATGTGCTTGTTGTTGTAGGGTGTCATGTTTGGAGTGTGAAGTCTGAGACCGCCCGCTGCCTACCCATGGTGAATGGTCGTTTCTGTCTGTCGAGAGTGAAACAGTCCTGCACTCTGCAGGGTAGGCTTCTGTCTTTACCCTCTCCGATACATAGCCCCATAATCATTTCTAAATCACTCACTCTATGCACTTGTTAATTCCCTGTTCTTATATTTTTATTTTATATACGGAGACCTAGAATTCTGTCCAGTAGCTTTTGTATGCTAAGAACATTATATTTAAGGAAGTTTTGATTTTGAGGACACACTGTCTGTCCTCTGGAGAGATTTGAGCTTGAATCAGGAGTTTGTCCTCCAGATGTCACCCTTGGTCTTGGGATGCTACTAGGGCTTTGTTCTTGGGATCCTGAATCTTGAAACAGTGAAGGCAGGGGAATGATAGCAGGTGCAGGGATTTGTTAGAGGGAAGCAGATAAGGTGTTTCTGGGAAATGTGAAACTGCCTCCTCCTATGCATAGGGCCTGTGCTCAGAATGGGCCTTGGTTCTTACAGGATGGATGCTCTTTATTGCCTAATAGAGTCCCATTCTTTTCCTGAGTCTGTCTGTTAACATGTGGTAAAAAGCTGGACTTGACTGTCAGCAAACTCACACCTTCCTTCCCTACCCTACCCACCTCCTGCCCCAGGCTGAAAGTGGCCCAAGACCTTTTGGAGTAAAAGTCCGTTGCTTCAAAGAGCACACCTTTGGGGGAACCTAGAGCTGTGTACGTTTGTCCTGTGCCCACACCTTTCCACTGCTCTTTGTCAGCGCTACATCGAGTGGCAGATTTGGCTAAGAAGCCAGATGTCATCCTGAGGAGGCCACTGGGAATCATCTCTATCCAGGGGCTGGCTGTTTTGCTCAGTTGGTTAGAGTGTGGCCTTGTAACACTGAGGTCAAGGGTTCCCCATACTGGTCAGCTGCCAAAAAAAAAAACCTAAAAAACTCTATCCAGAACCAACTAAGTAAAACACAAGGAAGAAGTTGTAGGCAGTGATGGTTGCTAAACCAAACCAAGTAGGCTGTGAAATCCCCATCATTAGTTCCATTCCTTCACTTATTTGACATACTCTTTGAGGACTTACCTACCACCACTATGCTAGGTGCTAGAGATGGGTTGTGACAGCAAGTCCCATCATCTGTCCAATAGGAGGAAGATTCCTATTTGGGAAAACAAGAGCTGTCAGCAAGGGAGAATCGATGGATGGTGTCCCAGCTGACATTAAGTTCTGGAATTTGATTATTAAAGGGATCTTGGGTTGTAGAAGATATTGGATCTTTCTTTACTTTGAGTCTCAACTTGAGAAAAGAGTTGATATTAAGCTTTTTGAAACTTTCTAACTTTCTTTTTTTGGCTCCTCCCTACCTGGTGGAAACACAAAATATCCTGGAAAAAAGGAAACAAGATTAGCTGGAAATGCAGCACTGGGCTGGAACCAGATTGGGAAAATTAAAAATTGTGATTTTTGAAAAGTTGAGTCCATAACTTCATGTCCTGCTTCCTGAACGTGTGTCCACAGAGGCCAGGACAGCTCGGTATACAACGGCCTCCACATGGCTCTGTGTTGGATGGAAGGACCTGGTCTTCCCCTAAAAAATTTCAAGAAGACCCAGTCTCCTTGGCAGATCTCCCTCTGCCACTTCTTTGCTTGCAGCTCACTTACACGTGTGTCTCTAACAAAGGATAGTTCCCCTTAAATGTACATGTCTTTAGGGTTAGGGACTGAAATTTGTCACCAGTTTCTAAGATCATGGGAACAGCCTTGGGACAATTAAAATGGTTAAAAGAAAGAAAAAAAAAGGAAAACAACAACAAAAAAGCCATTGCTTCAACCTCCATTTAGCCCTCAGGTCCACCTCAGCAGGTCTTTTACGTGACTTTGGTCACTTCCCTCTCCCAGTCCCCACAATGGCCTTTGTACCTTTTGGCCATTCTCCCCGGAATGTCAACTCTCAGGTTCAGCTCCCATCCTCTCAGAACCTTGAATCTGTCAGGCGTGGACTCCCTCAGCTTCCCACCATCCCCAGACCAACACAACTCTCTGTATTGCACCCCCTTACTTCCTCCCCTCCAGGGTCAGCCTAGAGATGTGCTCAGCTTAATAGTAGCCTCTGCCTGGAGCTTCACAACCACAGCTCCTCCGGAATCAGGACCTTGCTCCATCAGCTATTTCCTCTCTTGGTTTCTGGTCTGTGCGTCTCTACTGGCTTCTTCCTTCACCCTGCTCACATGCTGAAGTTGTTCCTGAAGCTTCAAATTCAGCATGCCCAGAACTCGACTCCCTGTCGGCCTCCCCTTGTGTTTGCTCTCTGTGAGTAAACCCATCCGCTCAGCCTCCCCCAGCCCCAGCCTGGGAGTCATCCAAGACTCCTTCCTTCCTCGCATCCCTCTGCCTTTCAGGAACTACATCCTACAAATTCTGCCTCTCTACTTAACATTCCCTGGTTCCAAAGCCTCTGCAGAGTTCAGACCCTTGCCTGACAACTGCAATAGCCCCCTTACTGGTTCCCCAAGCTTCCTCCAGCCCTGCCCCTGCTATTGTCCCCCGTGTAGTGTCGCAGCTGGAGTGAGCATTCTGCAACACAGAACTGAGCCTGTCACTACCCAGCATAAACCTTCGGGGACTCCCCATCTCTGTGATGAGGACTTCCTGATGGAGGCCTCTGTGGAACCTCCTCACGTTTGTGCCTTGCCTTTCCCTCATCAGACCTCTGTGCCCCAGACCTTTCTTGCCTCCGACAGCTCCCCCTCAACATGTCCAGCAGGCCCTTGCCTCACTGCCTCTGCTCACTCTACTCCCTTTTCTGGAATGCTGGGCCTCCCTGTCTGCCTGGGGCACAGCTACCCATTATTGAAGATGCAGCTGGGCACCACCTCCTCCACGAGGCCTTCCCTGCACTTCTCGGGCAGACCTGACCCTGCCTATGTCCCCTGTGCTCTCAGACTTCGGTGCCTGTGACTCTTACTGACCTCTTACACGTGTATCTCCCCTACTTCATCCTACCCCCTTTCTCTCTTATTTTTTATGTTCACACGCATACTGAGGTTCCCAACTCTATCTCTAGCACCCAGCTCTATGCCTGGCATGTGATTCGTCCTGTCAAATCTGCAGCTGGAATTGCCTCAAAAGTGGCAGCAGGGGAGTTCCCACAGGGAGTGCCCCAAACCCTCCCGAGATGGGGCTGGTTGGGATTCCAAAGAAAGAAGCACTGAAAGCCAGGTGATCAGTCCAGAGCATTTATTAGGGAACTTGCATACAGAGCACTGCAGCGAGAAAAAAGGGATGTTCCACCTAGGCGTTCCACATTGAGGGGGTAAGGGTGTGGAGTTTATATGAGGGTTTAAGGAATTTGGGTCAGGGCCTAGGCCAGTTTTTTTCAGTGTTTTGGGCAACAATCTAGATACCATTATCAGTGTCTGGGAATGTTCAAGACCCTGGTTTGGGTTCAAGCCTGCTGGGAAAAACTTGCAGCTGGCTGGGTCACAGGGCAGTCAAGGCATCTATTTTCTGTTAGGACACAGAAAGAAAGGGAACTTGGGGGGACCCTACAGCATGTGATAGGAACTCAGTAAATATTTACCAATTGGTTCTCTTCATATACATATATACATATACATATATATGGGTCTATGTATATAAATGCAGATGGAGCCCAAAATTCTGGCCTGGAAAGCGGATTAGGTTTCCTATACTTTCCTTTGATATGATGATTAAGTTAGTATTGACTTCAGTGCCCTCTCAGTATTTACCCACATAAGTTACAATTTGTTGGTATTGGTGCGTGAAGACACAGCTGAAGACATAAAAACCAACCAACCTCCTACTCAGCATCCTCATGAAACAACTTGTATTTTTGAAATGTCACAGATAAAAGCCAGCGGAAACCCATGCATCTTTATTGTAGCTGAGTCTGCTACTTTTTTGTTTGGACAAGCATTGAGACTTGATCTTATTCTTACCCTTTGATCCAGGGTATCCATATAACTATATCCTGAGACAGTTCCCCTTGTTTTAAACTTTTTATTGAAATATAGCAGACAAGAAGTACACAAAAGTGAATTGACTTTTTTGAATTCAACTTTTTTTATTTTTTGGTATCTGGCTGGTATGGGGATCTGAACCCTTGAACTTGGTATCATCAGCACCGTGCTCTAAGCAGTTGAGCTAACTGGCCAGCCCTATGAATTCAATTTTTACAAGAATTTTGAATTGAATTTTTACAAACTGGACACACTTGTGTAACCAGCACCCAAATCAAGAAACAACTTACCAGCACCACAAAAAACCTCTTTCCATCCACCTTCCCAGTCAGTAACTTGTCTCCCTCCTGACCCTGCCCTGAAGTTTGTGGTGTAGTGGATGGAGTACTGGGAGCTAGACAGATCCAGTTTTAGACAAACTTGTGTTACTAACTACCTACCTTTACTTTTATTAGAGATTTTGCAATTTGAGGCAGGTCATAATGAGACAATGATTTTTTTTTTATGGGATTTTGGTTCTTTTCAAATTCATTTATAGTTTACAATAAATCATAATAGCTTCTGGTAACAAAATTTACAGAGCAGTTACTATGTGCTAGGCACTGTGCTAAGCTCTTTACATGCTGTCTTATTTAATCCTGACAACAAGCCAATGAGGTAGGTAAGTATCCTCACTCTGCAGGCGAGGAAGTGGAGACTCAAGAGGAGAGGTTTGGTAAGGAACTGGCCCAGCACCTGTCACTTACCTACTCTACTCCTGAAGTCTGTTAACTCCACTGTATTATTAAAGTCATGAAAAATGCCTAATAGGAACAAATGGATAAAATAACAAAATATTCAAATAAAAATAGTACATTAGCTACAAATTTTAGTCTTTTCCCTATCTAGTATCAGGACCATTCACAATTGTAATTGGTCCTTTCTTGCATGTGACTGGCGACTGCCCTTCCTGGCCCTTTATCCCTGATGGGGGTCCTGTCTCATATCCAGGGAGTTCAGCAGGGGCCCAGTGTCCAGGCTTGCATCTCTGACAGATGGCCCAAAGCTGTAGGAGAAGTAGAATTAGAATTGCATGGGTGATGGTGAGATTTTGAGACAGATCTCAGTCTGTGATTAATTCCATTTGGTTTCCCACCCCTGCAGTTGGTGCAATTGAGCTCAGGCCTCCAACATCTGAGCAGAGGCTGTGGCTCCAGGGCCCACCTGCCCCTGGATCCCTCCCTCCTGCTCACTCTTCCCAGTGTCCCAAATATGAGAATATTTCATCCATTCACAGGCCAGAGGCAGCTGTGGAAGAACTGCTGCTGGGAGTAGGAGGGTCTTACTCCATTGAAACTTTGCCTGGGTCCCTCATAGTTCACAGGCTATATAAAATATGTAAAATTAGAGCTGCTCTGGTCACCAGAGATGGGGGCCCAAAGCCCTCTCCTGGGTTGGGCTTTTGCCCCACCTAGCGGGTCCCTGATGCAGCTCTGTGGTACTCCTGGGCTGGTCCAGGGAATGGATTGGAAGCTAGAGGTGTGTGCAGGCTAACAGTGCTGGCCTGAGCCTCCACATCAACTTTCCCAGACTCCTGTTCCTAAGATCAAAGGGACAGAAGGAATCTCCATGGCCCAGCCTAGCTAGCAACTGGCTGTCAGGAGAGCCCCTCCTGTCATCCTGTCCTTCCCTTGCCTCACCACAGGCTGCCCTTCCTGTGGGGGGATTTATAGCTTCACCTACCTTCCACTGAATTTTGGATCTTTCATCTGTTAAATAGGGAGTGAGACATACTATGCAGGGTTGCAGAATTCCAGGTTTCAGCTGTCAAAACCAAACCAGATAAAATGTGTAAAGTAGGTACTAGGTAAAGTGGTTTCCTTTCCCCTTTCCCTGAAGCTGCACCTTCTCTCCTGGGCTCTCCCAGCCCCCCCTCCAGAATTTCTTCCCAGTCATCTACTTTGAACACATTTCAATTTAGCACTTACCACAGGGCGTTGGAGTTTTTTAGGTTGTTCACAACAGCATGTTAGAATATGCACCCTCTGCTGGCCTGCACTCCTTAAGAGGAGGGAGTGTTTCTCCTTTTTTCTGGCACCACAGCACACATCTCGCCCAGTGCTTGGCCCAAAGTAGATGCTCCAACTATTGGTTGTTGAATGAATAAGCGTCAGTGGTAATTCATCTTGAATCACCCAGGACTGTGCACACAGGAAACGGGGACGTATGTTGTGTGTGTTGGGGGAGTGGTGAAGCATTACCACAGCTGACAAAAAAAAGAGAGAGAGAGAGAGAAAAGCTCTTTAAATGGCAGAAAATTCGAGTTGGAGTCCCAGCTCCATACGGAGACCTCGGGCACAAGCCGCTTCGGTTTATTCACCTGTAAAACGGGGATAAATAGGGACTGACAGGGATAAACAGCCGCCCTCACCCATAAGTGAAAACGCTTTGTAAAAGGCCCTCTCGCTCAGTGTCCCCAGGGCCGCGTAGGGCGAGAGATCACCACCTGCCTCTGCAGGTACGACCTGGTAGGACCCGCACCCTCTGCAGCTGGGTCAATTCTAGTGGGGTCTCCGGACCCCCGTCCAGCTCGTAGGAAAGTGCCACCCGTCGTCGATGATTCGTCTGAGACAGGCGCTGAGACGTTCTCATGTTTTGTTGGTTAACGCTGCTGTCTGTCCGCGGGCCAGGCCTTGGGAAACGTAGTTCCGGCGAGTCGCCCCGGGGGCTCGGGCTTCCGCTTCCGGTGTTCAGGGGACGTCCCAATGCCTGGGCTTGGGGTCCGGGCTCCGGGTTCGAGTGTCGTGTAGGGACGTCGCGTGGCCGCAGGGAGGCTTCCGCGGCAGGGGCCCCCGTAGTCGAGGGTCTCGGCGGGCGGGAGCGGCCTTCACCTCGGGTCCGCGCTGACCCCGCTGGGCGGGCGTGACCGGACCGAGAGTCGGGGTCCGGCCGCTTCGGGCCTAGGCCCCGCGTCCCCGCAAGCGGATCCCGGGACAGGACACGCTCGTCGTGCTGGCGGCGCCTTCCTTCTTGCCGCCCACTGGGCCAGGAGGGGACGTCCCTGTCCCTGTAGCAGCCGAGACGCTCCTCCCCAGGGCCCGCGTTTGCCCTATAAACCTTCCGGAGAAGGTCGTCCGCGGAGCGGAATAGCCTTCCAGTGTAAGTCACGTTCTGCAGGCTGGTCATTAAGTTCACGGTCAAAGGGCTGAGCCACTGTCCATTTTTCTGCCATAAACCAGCCATGTGACCTTGGGCAAGTCCTTGGTTTCTGAGCCGTGATCGCTTCAGCTCTAGGACAAAAGCCAGAGTATTTCTTAACTGTCCTTCCAACTCTATTTTGATTATCTTTGCTCTTAAAGCTTGTAACCTTATCCAGGGTGAATCTCCCTGTTTGGGAGAGAGTTATGATGCCAGGGGTGAGGAATCCTGAACGGGCGCCCAAGGCTGATAACTTGGCCAGAAGCGAGGGCAGTTTAGCTTTTGGAGCATTTGAATCACTGAAACTTATAGCCGACTCCACCCGGGTGCTGCTCTCTAGGGTGCTGCTACCTTGTGCGCCGTCTCAGACTTATCCTGGTCATTTACTTTGCAACACCCTGTAGTTCTGAGGACCAGTGCCTTGGGAGGGTAGACAGTTTATTGTCCCATATATAATCTTCATCAGCCCATTGGCATTCTTCAACATGGATACTTGGCGTTTTCTCAGCCTTAAGTAAATTGCTATGCAAACACAGCTTCAAGCTCCTCTACTTTCCAACCAGATCACCAGCCCCTGACCCCTCTTGTCAGACTTCTGGAGCTGCTTTCCCAGCAGCAGAGGGCCAGACTCCACAGGCAGTAGGATATTGGGGATGTGGGAGGGGCTAACATTCGTGATTTTCACTATTGTTCACTTTGTAATGTGTATCTCTGGCTCTAGAATTTCAAGAGAAGTTCCACTTATTGACTCCTGACTGAGGATAGCTTCCCAGTGAGGTGATGGAAGATTTTTGATCTTCAGAGTGCAGTTGTAAGGTTCTTCACTGAGCTGAACAATGGCTGTAGCTGTGGACAAACAAATCCAGGTTCCTTGAATACAGGAAGAGCTTCGAATAGTGAAATGGGAAGAAGGTTCCCACTGGGAGCAGGAAATTTCCCTTCAAGGAAATGACTCCGGACCAGAGACATCCTGCCAGAGCTTTTGGCATTTCCACTATAAAGAAGCATCAGGACCCTGGGAAGCCCTCATCCAACTCCAGAAGCTCTGTCGTCAGGGCTGAGACCGGAGAAGTGTATGAAAGAGCAGATTCTGGAGTTGCTAGTCCTGGAATAGTTCCTGACTGTCCTTCCCCAGGAGATCCAGATCTGGGTTAGACAACAGCATCCAGAGAGTGGAGAGGAAGCAGTGGCCCTGGTGGAAGACTTACAGAAAAAACCTGGAAGACATGGGCTGCAGGTGAGATATGAGTTCTGAGTAGTTAAAATAGAGGAATGTGAGAGCCAGAGCCACCTTGGGTTGCCAGCAGTGTGGGTGATATTTATTTTATTTTTTTTCTTTGCTTTTTGTGTCAGACTGGATTTGCTTATTCCCCGTTCCTGGTAGCTGCAATTTTCCTTCCAATTTTAGACTGACTCTTCAGAGAATGCGGCTGCTCTGAGTGTTGGTCCTTGCCTTAAGTAAGAGAATTGCTTAAAATGGTTTGTGTGTACCACTCTGATCAAGGAGGAGCTCGTGTGACAGGGACCTCTTTTTGGAGAACAGTTCTCATTCTTCAGCAGCCAGTAGGAAGCAAATGGCTTCACTGATCTTTGTTGATGTTATTGAGCCTATTGCCAAATAGCTGAATTATTGGTTAGTCCTATGTGTTCTGCCTAGGGGTGGGCAGGGCAGGTAGGAGCAGCCCCAGGAGAGCTGGGGGGCAGGTTGCAGTGGGCCTGGGTTCCAGGCCTTAACTCTATGAAATCTTCCACACATCTACATTCTTTACTGCTGCTACAGGGGTTTGCGTAAGACTGGCTTTCTCTTTTGCTTGGGACACAGTTCCAGACACAGTTTCAGTTCCTACAGAATTTTGACCACTTCCAGTCCTTGAATAGGGACAGGATGTGCTCTCAGAGGAGAAGGAACCCTGAGGATCAGTACTGAGTTCCCTAAACATCCATCCAAAGCAAGCGCAGACAGAATCCATGTGTCTGTTCCAGGCAGTAGTGAAGAGTTCACAGACAAAACCAGAGGAACAACTGAACCACAGCCCTGAAGTAGACCTTCCATCCTTCCACAAGAGCAGTAAGCAGCAGCGGTGTGGGGAGGAAGGAGGAAATCTTCTGTGGGGAGGGTATAGCAGTACCCTCTGAGTACAGAAAATTGGGCAGAGGGTACAACGCCCTTCCACTTGGAAGATGTGGCATGTGAACTGAAGCTGACCACATGAATCTGTAAGATCCTAAATAGGCACCTCCAAAGGGACCTCAGTTGGCATGTTTTATAAAACAACATAGGAGAGCCTGTGGCACCTCTCCTTATGTGAGTGAGAGATTACTGGTCCCAGTAGGTTATGGGTGGGGACAGATTTTAGGCCTGGTTGGTGGGAAAGACACAGGTAGGGCTAAACTAAAGTGCAGTAATCCTTAAAACAGGTACATGTCCCCAGACCAATTCAGATGACTCACGTGTGTTACCAGAACTGAAAAAACAAAATTATGAAACCCTAACAGTCAGTATCTGGATGGATATGGGAGGGAAAATCTAGAACTTTCATCTTAGAAATGTGTCATTTTGTTTTTTTGCCAACCCTCCTTTGTAGGACAAAGCAGATACTAACAGGAAGAGGAAAACTCTTCTGTTTTTGAATTCAGTTGGGTTAGTCACCAAGAGGAGTTGAGAACCATATACGAGGGTACTTCAAAAAGTTCACAGAGGGGGCCGGCCTGTGGCTCACTCGGGAGAGTGTGGTGCTGATGACACCAAGGCCACGGGTTCGGATCCCATATAGGGATGGCCGGTTAGCTCACTGGGTGAGCGTGGTGCTGACAACACCAAGTCAAGGGTTAAGATCCCCTTACCGGTCATCTTTTAAAAAAAAAAAAAAAAAGTTCACAGAGGCCGGCCCGTGGCTCACTCGGTAGAGTGCGGTGCTGATAACACCAAGGCCACGGGTTCGGATCCTGTATAGGGATGGCCGGTTTGCTCACTGGCTGAGCGTGGTGCTGACAACACCAAGCTAAGGGTTGAGATCCCCTATATAGGGGAAAAAAAAAAAAAAGTTCACAGAGAGATTCGTGTTATCTTTTAATTCTATTTTTCCACAAACTTTTTGAAGTACCTTTGTACTCTAATGTCTCCTTTCTCTTCCCCCAGCCCTGCCTGATTCTCAGGTTCTGGATCTTCCTGCACAGAAGAGCAGTGGTGACCGGGGTGATGAGCAGATCTCAGGTGAGCCGGACTTTTCTCTTACTCAGGTCACCTTTTACTACTTGAGTGGGTCTCTCTGCAACCAACTCTCTCAGCTCTCAGAAATTCCAAAAGAATTTTACCCAGTAAGGAGGCCCAGTAACTTTACAGAGTTAGCCTCTAAAATTTCATCAGACTGCAAAAGGTTGCCCAAATCTTCTTACTTATATAAGGCAGTGCCATGCTATGGTAGCAAGGGGTTGTATTAAAATTATTCTCTTTTTTGAAATTGTCAGATTATACTAATTGGTTTGTTTGCCTTAAAGGTACTGGTTACTTCTTTCATCCAATTTCTGGATCTTGCTGACATGGCATACAGTATTATACATTGTGGAAAACAAAAACAAAACCAGAAAGCTTCAGAGTCAGACAGCCCTGAGTTCAAATCCTAGCTCTACCGGGTCCTAGCTATGTAACTTTGAACAAGTATGAGAAGCTTCCAGCACAGTGCATAGGTGTTCTGTAAATGTTAGCTTTTCTTCCTCTCCTCCTGTTGCCTCCTCCTGCTCCCATTATTGTATTTAAGAGCAAAGAGAACTCACTTTTTAGTTTTTTCTACATTTTGTCATTTGCCCTCTGACTCAGGAATTTAGAGGCATTTTGTCCCAAGGCAGTATGTTGAGTAGGGGTGTTATATTTCCTTAGGAGCTGGTGACATTTGGCGATGTGGCTGTGTATGTTTCCCAAGAGGCACAGAAGGAACCAGAACCTGGACAGAAGAACCACCTAGAAGTAACTCGACAGAATCCAGCAAATGGGATCTTGCTAGGTAAGAATGCCTTTTTCCTTTAGAGTCAAAGTTAGCTGTGGCGTTTCTGTAGTATTCCCTACTCCAGACCATTTTAGGGTTGAATTTTTCAAATCCATTTCTTCCCTCATTCCCACTTGAAAAAAAAGAAAATAGAAATCCAATACCATAGTCATTGTCACCAAAGATGAGTTTCTTGAGCCCACAAAGGATATTAGATTGAAAGCTCATTGTATTAGTCCATTTCTGTTGCTTATAACCGAATACCTGAAACTGGGTAATTTAGGACTGGCCAGTTAGCTCAGTTGGTTAGAGCATGGTGCTGATAACACTAAGGTCCAGGGTTTGAACCTGTACCATCCAGCTGCCAAAAAGAAAGAAAGGAAGAAAGAAAGAAACTGGGTAATTAATTTATAGAGGAATGAAATTTATTTCTTACAGTTTTGGAAGCTGGGTATACACAGCCTTTCTCAAAGTC